TTTTTTTTTTTTTTTTTTTTAAATGTCTGCAAGCACCCAGAGAGACTCTCAGTCATCTTCTCACTGTAAGCCATGTTACCACTATTTCTACACCAGCACTCCAGCCCCTCCAAAAACTTGATATAGTATCTGTACATGAACAAATATTTTGCTTAATTTTGCATATATACATCAAAATAGCAATGTTTCATCCATTAGAGTTTAAGTGGCAAATTACATTTGTAGGCCTGATTGAGGAAATAGCAGATTTAATTAGAACAGGGCTCAAACTTCAGAGATGCACTCTCCAATACAAACCTGAAATAAGCCAGATTCTGCTGTGGTTTTAATCTTTTGCTATAGAGAGAGGGATGTGTGACAGATCAGTACAGGGACAGTCTGTATTTCTCTTATGAAGGACAAGCTGATTGAAGCAGTTCATTTTGTTACCAGCCAAGTTCCCTCAATACTGAATACGAGAACCCGTTCTTGTGGCTGATCGTTCAAATTACAGTAATGGCCCTCAAACACACATCAGGACCCCAGTTTAGATACTTGTGCAAACCCATAAACAGAAAGACTGTACTTGCCCCAAAGAGCCATATTGTTGTAAAGGCTGGCTAATGGAGTCAAATAAGAGTCCAGGGTCTTCTGCATACTGTATAGTAGTATTAAGCCGGCAGACTTTCCTCAATGACTAAAAAAGTCATTTATTTATTTGTAAGGCAATTTAAAATGATAAAATATTAACAGGTATTGACAAGAAAGCCCTTAAGGGATTTTTGATATGGCCAGAAGTAAAAACACTTCTGGAAAATTAATGCTATACTGGAATTACGATCTTATCTTGCAAATGCAGACCAACTTTGCTGTGATAGTACGTTACTGCTCAAAACCACTTACGCTGGTAAAGTTACATGTGTTGTACCAATTGGAACAATTTCCATGGACTTTCCCCAAAATTTGTTTTTCCACCTCATATCTGAAACAAAAAAACAGGACACATATGTAACAACTTGTGGGCTGAAAGAATTTCTGAGCCATTTTTAAAAGCTTCATGTAACAGTGAACACTTTCGTATGTGAAGTTCAGGCATTAACATCTAATCATGTATATAGATAGCTTCACATCCAAAGGTTATCCTTTATTTTTAAGAAGAAAGCAAAAGCCAGAGGAAAAAGTTAAGCAATTTCTTGTATTTTGTTTAAATGAATAGAATTTGAATGAATGGTTCCAAGGTGACATACAACATCATTACCTGATGAGAAGGTATGAGACCATCTCTAAGAACAAAACTGGCATTTCAGAAAGACTACCATGTGAAAGTGGTATAAAAGTTCAAAGTAAAAGCCAGAGGGAGACAATTGCAAAGGTACAAGTGGGAGATATAACTCCCCTTCAGGCTTTTGAAGAAAAAAAAAAAAACAACACCAACCCAGCACTATAGGTGGTTTCACAGTTAGAACAGTTTAACTATTCCAAGGCTAATGTAATATTATTCTCCAATCCTATCATAGAAAAAGAAGGCTAAGGAATCCCAGTGTATGGTAGCAGACCCTTGAAAATATATGCCAAGTTAATAAAAGCATCTTGAAGTTCAACATGCATGTATCCCAGACATTAAAGATAGACAAAATTCAACCAGTGTGATTTAATTACGGCACAACTTCATTAAGTTAACTCATCTGGACACTGTCTAGCTAGCAATAACTCTTCCAGGACACATCAAGATTCCTTTTTTAAACATTTCCATTTGGTAAAAAACTGTCAACAGCTTTCTTTTTTTGGCAACTGTTCCCCAGCCCTTCACTGGGGACCACTGCACTCTTCATTGAGGGTTAAGAAGCTAGGGAAAGAGGGTTGTCTCCTCACTCTACTAGGTATTAGGAACTTCAACGGTACTTTGTGACTTCCTTAGGGGATGCCTTTCCCTAAGGCCAAGTCTGATTTGGATGCCTCAGGGAACTGAACCCTATATAACCTCTGCACTGGGCACTTGCTAAAGCTACAACATCAAACTAAAACTTCACCATCAGCCCAACCAAATCCTTGAGCAGCTATGGGGAAAGTAAGTAAAACCTCATTCTGCCCTGGCCAATCTGATAATGAAGATATTCCTTCCCAAGCCTAAAAAGGTGATTAATGCAATTCTCAGAGCACACCAAAAATCTCAATCCTATGCTCTTCCCAAAGATAGAGTGGAAGCTCTGAACTCTGTATGAGAGGGGGTTAACACTAGAGACGCACAGATTTTATGTACCCTCTTCAGGTGCATAAAAACAAATGGATTGACTGAACCACATTACGGTGCCCACTCAATACAAATGAGTTTGTTCTCCTCAACCCTTGAGAAAGGAGCCCAGAAAAGGACCTATGGCCCCCCACCTCCATCAGTTTCAAGAAAGATCCAGTCCCCAGCCTGGAGGTTGCAGGGATTATACTGTGTATGCTGTTTTAGCAGTCTTGACAAGCATTTCTGTCATGATTACTATTTCACAAAAGGTTCAGAAACATCATTATTTTGACAGTATTTAGGCAAGTCCGATGCTCTGAATCCTATGTTATTTTTCTCTTTTGACCTGGTGGGTAGAGAAGGGGGAAAAATACAACCTCTAAAAAGAAATACTAACTTAACTGAAATACTGCATCAGATAAACAGCAAGGGGCTAAAATTAGTCAAAGATTTAGCACAGAGACATGTTAAGGGTCAAACTTCAAGAGTTAAGGTGCCTTACAAGTAATTATGGCAAACTTCGGGATCTCTTCTACAGCGAGGCCGTCTGATTTAAAAACCACTACACTGGAAACCTCCCAAGAAGAAAAAATTAGTACAAGGTCACAAACCCTTTTTTGTGCTAAATGAATTAATTTGAAGAAGTCATACCACAGAAACCACAACTACTGGAGCTTTCTATGTTTCTAATGCAACTGAAAAAAAAAAAAGTCAACTCCTCTTTAGTATCTGTCAACATAAGCAGCAACCAGTTTCAGGTGAATGATTAATTAAAAATGGATTCTGTTTGGTGGACAATATTTTGAATAGAAAGAGCAGGATGGGGCAGAGAATGAGAGAGAGGAGTACTATACAAAAACTGTTACTCAACACCCACAATCTAGGAAGCACAAACCTCTCAATAGTAAACCTTTCAATTTAGCTACCATAGAAATATAAATTTGACCTCCAAAAAAAAAAAAAAAAAAAA